CTAAAAAAAATTTTATATATATATATATAATTTTTTTTTTTTGTGCAATTTTTAAAAAATTGCTTTCAGTACCTTTTGGAAGCTTCCTCAAATTGCAATTTTTTAAATATATATATATTAAATATATATATAATTTTAAATCGCAAATAAACTACAGCGCATTAAATTACAATCTTGTTTGGTTATGGTTATGCACTTCGTGAAACTTGCGTTGTTGATCATAATCGGAGCTCTCCGATTGGTCGACTTCAGAATTCCATCGCTGACCGTTCATTCTAGTTTCATACTAAAAAAATCCGCGGCGTTTAGGACCCTGCGTCGCTGCAGCGGGTCGCCTGCAGTCACTGCGCCAGGAATCAAACCCTCCAAAATCCTCAATCTATCGCTGTAAATCCATTGACTGCAAGAAGAGCAGCAGACAAGCTACCGTCTGGTTTTCCTCGCAGTCACGGCTGCCGTTCTGCACAGTATATCTCACTCGTGCGGACAGACAGTCTCGTGCTTCGTCTGCCCAACAACTGACCTTCTGTTTTTAATTCCGATGATTAATTCGTGCTAGTGTGTCTCGTCGGTAGCGCACACTGAGGTCAGTAAGTCGCATATGATGCACATACGCGATAATTTCTCACTGCGATCGTTTAAAGCTGCAGAGATGTCGGTCGCGTCTATCCAGTGCCTGATGTTTGGTGAGTTCAGTATTTTTTGTGTGTGTTGTATGAATGATTGCTTTATGTAAATGTATAACAATTTTTTTTTTTATAATTAAAATATATATATATTTTTTTTTTTATAAAAATGCATACATTTTAGTAGTCAGTATTGTACAAATTATATTTTTACTAACTAATATATGTGAAATTATGTATTTAAAAATATTTATAGCCCATTATAATAATAATGTGATGAAAACCAACCTATTGATTATTTAATCACTGATAAATGTCACTAGTTTTGTAATAGGTTAGAGTAATCACAAGGTTTGATTTACACTGTTCGGTATTGTGTCTGAGAGCAATATGCATCATCATTAACACTTCTCATCGTCTCCATGAGTGCGGGAAAAAAAGGTATTGTTATTTTCTGAGATGGTCATTAATGCTTTGTTGATGTGTTTTGCTTGTCATGATCCCCAGCATGAAGAGTCCAGTCATTGAAATCATTCAGATATTTGTGTTATTGATCTGCTAGTGCAGATTACGGCACACGCCCCTTTTTCTTCCCTATCTAGAGACCGAGCAGATCTAATCAGGTCCAGTCAGGATTTTCAGCATGATTCATCATGTAACTGAGAAAAGAACATTTTGCAGCTGTTGTGGACGCTGATTGTGTTTGGCACGCCGTGTGTGTGTGTGTGTGTGTGTGTGATGGCTTGTCATGCCCATGAGGCCACGGCTGACAGATTGTGCTGGTCAAAAGCCGCTCCAGACAGACCGATGATGACCAGACACAACAATGACCGGTCAGGTCTGTTTAGTCTAATGAGCAGCACAGATTCAGGCTTAAGCCAAGTCCCTGTTCAACACCCCATTTCACTCATATGGCATTTGATTATTTGCTCACCCTCTTTAAGTATTTTGTAACATATAATAGCTTAGTTTTTTTTCAGGTATGTTGGAGTGCCGTCTAAATATCATGGTGTAAAAGACATGGCCATGGTTTTACTGTGTTGTTATGGACATATATTGTGATATTCTTTCTGATATAGTAGATTACCATGTAAATATCATTGTATGTGCATTTCGTTGCCATTTTATATATAGCACTTTGTTTTTTTGACGTTACCATGTTTTTAGCATGGTAATCATCCTATACCATAATATATATCAAAGTATTGCCCTGTTTTTGTGGTATTACTATGGTAGTACAATGTTTTTTTAAACTTACTCTGATATTCTTTAAAGTACTTGTATACTGTATCGTATACAATTTATGTCATGGTATATATGTCAAAATACTGCATTATTATTTAGTTAGTTACGTTACCATGTGGATACCATGGTGTTTTTTGCAGTTCCTTGGAGTACCATCATGTAAATAGTAAATACCATGGTAATCACGCAATACCATTATGTATATCAAAGTATTACCCTGTTTTTGTGGTATTACTATGGCAATACAATGCCCTTTGAACTTATACCATGGTATTTTTTGAAGTACTTTGGCGTACCATATAGTAAACTTTTGATGTCATTGTATATTTCAATGTATTGTATTGCCATTTATGCTGGCATGTTTATGTAGATACCATAGTGTTTTTTCACAGTTTCTTGGAGTGACTACCATGGTAATCCCCCAATATTATGTTATATATCAAAGTATTTCCCTGTTTTTGTGGTATTACTTCGGTAATAGAGTGTTTTTGGAATCTATACCATGGTATTTTTGAAGTACCTTGGCATACCACATAGTAAACTTTTTATGTCATTTTATGTCTTTTTATGTCTTTTTATGTCATCAAAGTGCTGTATTGCCATTTAATTTAGGTTACTGTTACAATATTACCATGTAGATACCATAGTAACCATGTAAATACCATGATAATCACCCAATACTATAATATATATATATATATATATATATATATATCAAAATATTACCGTATTTTGTAGTATTGCTATAGTAATGCAATGTTTTGGAACTTATACCATGGTATTTTCTGAAGTACCTTGGTGTACCATATCGTAAACATTTGATGTCTTCGTCAAGGTGTTATATTGTCATTTAACGTAGGTTATAGTTACAATATTACCATGTTGATACCATAGAGTTGTTTACATTTCCTTGGAGTACCATGTAAATACCATGTTAATCATGCAATACCATGATATATATCAAAGTACTTCCCTGTTTTTGAGGTAGTAGTATAATAATGTTTTTTTTACCTTATTTGAACATATAATGTCTTTGTCAAAGTACTGTGTTGTCATTTAATTAGGGTTATAGTTACAGTATCATTTTTATACCATGTCGATACCATCATTAATTGGACATGTACCATTTGGAGAACAATTTAAATGGTCATCATTCAGTACTATGGTGCAACTCATGCCCTCTTTAGCAGTATCAGGCACTGTAGACCTGCAGCTGCCAGTCTGTAGACTATAAATCTGACTCCTACCGCTCGATGCCACCTACACACACAGGAACTGCTGCAATGTAAGCTGGCACAGCCCAGAAACCCATTCAGGTCGGGTGACATCAGCATTTATCTTGCCGCTGAGCCCGTCTTGACTTGAGCCGCTCGTTTGAGATGTGGCTTTATCTCTGAGAGGAAAGGAAAAGAGATGGAGAGGATTTAACACAGAGAAATAATTGGCAGCCGTATGTATTCACAGAGTGTTGCTGAAGTCCAGGTGCCTCACACTTTAAATTGGGCCAAGCTTTGGTGGGTTTGATGATTTATGAATCATTTTATTCTGTGTTCAGGCTCCTCGTCTCTTTTAGAGAGAGTCTGATACTGACGCTGGCTGAACTGCTCATATATTTAGTACAATAGCTGCTATGTGACGGATCTGTGTTTGTATCAGATGGCAAAGGATTGTGGCGTCTTGGTCTGAACGGATGAATGCGCACTATAAGACGTCTGAAATCAGTCAGAAACAGGTGGGCGCTGGTCATGTTGCGACTGCTATGATATAAAAACCACACTGTAAAAGATGTCAAGAACATGTCTGATTCATATTTCATTACCATTTCGTTTTTGTTTTTTTTTTACGTTGTGACATTATTTTCACAACATTTTTTTGCTTAAAGGGGTCATATGCACATACCTACGTCACTATTTGGGCGGCGTTATGCAACTCTTCCCAGATAGTGACGTAGGTATGTGGGGTGTGTTAGAACGAGCCGTTTTAGGTAGGCGTGGCTGACTACTTTTTTTTATAAAGAATATCTCTTTGGATTTGAGACTTTAGTCTTTGCAACTTTACAGATCTTCTTTATGCACCAAGAGCTTGTAACACTCCAAAGAGAAAGGAAAAATTGAAATCGCATCATATGACCCCTTTAATTTATGTATTTATTTGGAGTGACATATGATGTAGACAGGTTATTGACCATTTTATTTATTTATTTGACCTGTATACATCAAATGAAATAAGAACTTAAATGAGCAAATATCCCATATTTTCATCCTGAAGTCAGAAACATCTTTGGGGTATTTTATTTGTCTCAGGAAACACTAAATATTAAATAAGCATAAATAAGTAGATTTTTATTAATTCAGAGAACTGAGTAAAGGGAGATTTTTTTGAAGTTCTTCTTACAAACATTTTAGCAAAATATGTCCTCTTTTTAGTAGTGCCCCTCTGCTGTTATTAAAGTTCTTCTTTTGTCCTTCAGGTTTATGCATCTTCTTAAGTTTCATTTGGTTCATCCAACTCCCCAAGTGCAAAGATCCTGGACAGGTTTTGTTGCCGCAGAGCCTCTATGAACGAGATATTAGCTTTTATGATTAATGTACCATTTAATGTGTCCAAACTTTGAGAGCATCTCTGAGGCAGAAGGCCAAGGAGCGTTCCTCAGAGATAGACGTGTTTGGGTTCAGGCATCAGCAAATTCTCTATTCGCTGTTCAAGCGAGGTCAGAAGTAGCCTTGCAGAAACTGGAGTTTACTGAGGCAAAATAAGATTGTGTCATCCATAATTAATGTGATCTACTGGGGTGGGACATTGACGCTTTCTAAAGACATACATCACAGAGATAGAGGTGACACTGTGTTTGGTACTTCACTTTTGGGATGCTTTACTGGTTGGTAGATGTTTAGGAAGAATCTAAAGATGGAAAAAACCCAAAATTTAAATTCTGTAATCATTACTTCTTTTTATTCTAAACTAGTATGGCCATTGTTGACCAGTGACCATGTAGTGATTGTCAAGCTCCAAAAATGTCAATAAAGGCACGATGAAAGTCCATATTGCTTGTGCACTGAATTCCAAGTCTTTTGAAGTCGTCAGATAGTTTTGCATTAGGATCAGACACAACGTAATTATTCACTGATAATCTTGGCTCTAAAATCTTATTTTGGACTATCTATTTGGATCCAAGAACCAAAGGTGTTCAGCATCATCAACATCAAGCCTGTGCTGCAACAAGTTTTTGCACCGTATTTGAACGCAAATAAGAAAGTGCCATGGCAACAAAGTTGTATAATTTTCCAAATTTTGGAGAATTGTATGCTAGCTTAAATTCTGCAGGTGTACAAGTATTGATGTTCAGCTTCATTTGACATTTTGTTGCACTTTTCCAAGTGGATCGTTGGATATTCGGGCTTCCGAAATCCGACTTGAATAGAACGTTGCATTACTGATAATGTAGAATGTTTTTCGAAAAATAAAGTGGTCTTTTAATCTTTAATTCTCTCAAATTTACTCAGTAAATGTCATTTGGTTATTTGGGATTATACTCTCCAGCAGTGTCCCATTTTGGAAGTTTCCGCAGCATTGCATGACTGGATGTCCCGGGTCTCTAAAACCACTGGAACGTTTCCAGAAGGCGAAGTTGATCGATTCATAAATTGGAGCAGGAAGTGCCCGGTTTTTCCACACTGTTAATTACCACACAATCACACACTTTATAAATATAATACCAGAGTCGCCGAGACGTCAGCCTGCTGGTCTCCTTAATTAAACCGAGCCTCACTAGAGAATATATTTCATTAAACAGACCCATGAATAAAAACGAAATCCGTGTCAGAATTAGAGAACTGTGTAATTGGCTTTTAAACTCCAACTTGGCTCCAACAGAAGAGCCAGAAGCAGATTTCAGCCCAGTTGTCGCCTTTTTCGGCTGTCCAGTGTTTAAACCAATGCTAATCCTGTGGTGACCTGGTAGGGCGAGGAAAGATAAGACCGGGTGGTTTGAGAGACAACGCTAACCCGGCATGATACAGAGCCAGCTGTGGTTGTAGCCCATAAGGGCCGGGACTCAAAAGATGTCTCCAGTCGGTGTTTGATGGATGCATACATCCTTGAAACCATCTGTCACTGCTGACGCTATTAAGAAAGATTCATTTGTGGTGAAGGAGTTGGTTTGGTTCTTTGTTGCTGATTTTGATTCGTGTATTGAATGAATCCAAGTTCAAAAAGTGAGCTTATTATATCTCTTTTTCTTTCATTTAGGTTCTGTTCTCCTGGTTCTGGTGTGTGCCGAGGTTCTGAGTGCTGATCCAGCGCTCCTACCCAACCCTCTCCGCTCCCACGGGCCAGTTCTGGATGTTCCCGTAGGCTTTGAGGAACACGATGAGGTCTCGAGGGAACGCAGGCCTGGCTTCATGGAGAGTTCTCAGGAGAGCTCTGGGTTCTTTAGTGAAGACAGCGAGGACGGCAAGAACGCTCATATCGAGACCAAAGACACCAGCGTTGACCTAAGTGCCATGAATGGTGAGTAGAAGCAGTAATTCGAAACATTATTCACGCATGTTACTACAAAGTCATTAAGTTTGTTTATGTAAACTGTTCGCTCTGACACTGGAATGACAATTCAATTACGAAAACATTTTGGTTGCATATTTACGTAAAAAAATTGGGTCAAGTACTTATCGTTTGTCAACTGGCGGTGTTAACATATTCACTCTGACAACAACTTGACTTGATTCAATTACGAATGAAATTTGGTAGCAATATTACATTGGAAAATGCATCAAGTGCTTGTCATTTGTCAACCAGAAATGTAAATGTATTCGGTCTGACAACGTTTTGACTTGATTCAATTATGAACAAAATTTGGTTGCACATTTACAATAAAATTTGTGTCATGTGCTTGTCGTTTGTCAGCTAGAAATGTAACTATAGTTGATCTGACAGCGATCAGATGATTTAATTATGAACGAAATTTGGTTATTTTATTTTTTACTTTTGGTATTTATGATCCTACTTGCCATTTGTCAACTAGGGGTGTTAATATATTCGCTCTGACAAAGTTTTGACTTGATTCAATTACAAACAAAATTTGGTTGCAATATTATATTCGAAAATTACAATTTTGCAACTAAATTTCGTTTGTCGCAACCAAAATTGCGTGTCATTTGTATATTAGAAATGTCAATATTGTTGCTCTGACGTTGATTTGACTTGATTCAATTATGAACAAAATTTGGTTGCATATTGATGAGGAAAAATGGGTCAAGTACATGTCTTTTTTTTGTCAATTATTAGCTCTGACAACTGTATGACCTACTTAAATTATGAAAGAAATTTGGTTGCATATTTGCGACTGGAAAAATGTCAAGTACTTGTCATTTGTAAGCTAGGGGTGTTAATACAGTATTCGCTCTGGAAACGAATTTACTTAATTAAGAGCGCAATTTGGTTGCAATAGTATGTTCGAAAGTGGGTCAAATGTTTGACATTTATCAACTAGATGTGTAAATATACTTGCTCTGACAATTTTATGACTCGATTCATTTCCTATTGAAATTTGGTTGTGTATTTATGTTCGAAAATGACTGAAAAAGTATACGCTGCACCTGTAAATTGTGCAGCAAAGGCACTGAATGACGACAGATTCATATTAGGGCAGTACCTCTGTATGACTCGGCCTCTAGACACAGTTGTTTAACTTGCAAAAATGACTTGATTGCCAAAGAGACCGTTAGAGGTGTAAAGTGGTGTGAACAACAGCTTTTAGGACTCATTGTCTTGCGTCATTTCCTCGACACCTGCAGTCCCCTGCTGATGTTTACCTTTTTTTGTTGATTAGAGTTTTGTCGGCTTTAACAATTCCACTGATGTTTTTTCAGTCCACCTTGTGGTCGTGGACATGTTTCGCAGCACAGCCCAGAGTAGAGAAAATATATCCGCTTTCTACACAACGCCTGGGAATTAATGTGCCCGAAAACAGTATTATTTTTAGTTCACCTGCTAGCTCGCTAACCGCAGTGGCCTGTTTCCGGTGTGTGCGCATGAGGCAGAGAGAAGGACGGAGCTATCCAATGATTTTCTGCCGTGAGGAGTGTGACATTTTTTTATTTTCTCTGGTGGATATCAGCTTGATTTAGCTGGCACACTCACGCTGTACGCTAAGTGAGACATCAATGTTATAATTTCTCATATTAGTGATTTGAACAAACCCATAAACCTAAGTATTAAACCTTGGCACAACACTCACGTTTTCCTTTGAAACATTTTTCGGTTAATAGTTGGGACTCTATGGGTGCACTGAATGGACCTGAAGACAACAACACAGCTATCTGCTTTAGAACTTGAGACAAACTTGAAAATGTTTGGTTAATTGTTTTACACAAGCGCACATATGGAAGATGAGTGAATTTGCGGCCACAGCAGTAAATCTGAGCGTGAACATGAGAGCCTGTCACACTCAACCGCTGCTGAATGAGTAACGCGCACGCCGTGTCACACCGCAGACAGGCTTGACTGATCAGCCATATGGAGACAGGTGGACACAACCATGACTGAGAGAGAGAGTGTGTGTGTGTGTGTGTGAAGACACTTCCAGGTGTGGTGTTCTCACCTGGCTCTGTGCCTGCACCTCCTCACCAGGAAAGTGAGCGTTTATCTGTTTAGGGAATAGACAGAGACTATCTATCTATCTATCCATCTATCTGTCTGTCTGTCTGTCTGTCTGTCTGTCTATCTATATGTCTGTCTAGATTTTTAAGATATCTATCTATCTATCTATATGTCTGTCTATTTATCTGTCTAGATTTTTAAGACATCTATCTATCTATCTGTCTGTCTTTCTATCTATCTACCTATATATCTGTCTGTCTGTCTGTCTATCTATCTATCTATCTATCTATCTATCTATCTATCTATCTATCTATCTATCTATCTATCTATCTATCTATCTATCTATCTATCTATCTATCTATCTATCTATCTATCTATCTATCTATCTATCTATCTATCTATCTATCTATCTATCTATCTATCTATCTATCTATCTATCTATCTATCTATCTATCTATCTATCTATCTATCTATCTATCTATCTATCTATCTATCTATCTATCTATCTATCTATCTATCTATCTATCTATCTATCTATCTATCTATCTATCTATCTATCTATCTATCTATCTATCTATCTATCTATCTATCTATCTATCTATCTATCTATCTATCTATCTATCTATCTATCTATCTATCTATCTATCTATCTATCTATCTATCTATCTATCTATCTATCTATCTATCTATCTATCTATCTATCTATCTATCTATCTGTCTGTCTTTCTATCTATCTACCTATATATCTGTCTGTCTGTCTAGATTTTTAAGATATCTATCTATCTATTTGTCTGTCTGTCTGTCTGTCTGTCTATTTATCTGTCTGTCTAGTGTCTATCTATATATCTATCTATCTGTCTAGATTTTTAAGATATCTATCTATCTATCTATCTATCTATCTATATGTCTGTCTGTCTGTCTATTTATCTGTGTGTCTAGATTTTAAAGACATCTATCTATCTATCTGTCTGTCTTTCTATCTATCTACCTATATATCTGTCTGTCTGTCTAGATTTTTAAGATATCTATCTATCTATCTATCTATCTGTCTGTCTGTTTATCTGTCTGTCTAGATTTTTAAGACATCTATCTATCTATATGTCTGTCTTTCTATCTATGTCTGCCATTCTATCTATCTACCTATCTGTCTGTCTGTCTGTCTGTTTATCTGTCTGTCTAGATTTTTAAGATATCTATCTATCTATCTGTCTGTCTGTCTGTCCCTGTGGTTTGGTGCTCTTCTGTCTACACTCTCAGGAGTTTTCAGTCCTCTTGTCCCTTTCACACATCCACCTGTCTTTAATTAGTGTGAAGACCTCCAGTTACCTGACGCTTTTCATCCCAAGCCAATAGCAGTTCAGTAATTGAACAGAGGGAGGAATGATTCCACTGGATCTTAGGCGATGTTGAGAAACACAGGCTGTCAAAGTTGTGCTATTGTTCTCTAAAAGACACTTTCAGTACATGTATCTGTTTTTGTGCTCTCAGAGCGCTGTCTGATGCCCAAGAAGGTGGGACCTTGTCGTGGGGCACTCCCTCGCTGGCACTTTAACCCCGTCACTAAGAAGTGCGAAAACTTCATATTTGGGGGCTGCAGAGAAAATCGCAATAACTTCCTGTCGCTGGAGGAGTGTGCCAAAGCTTGCCACACAGTCCCTGGTATGCTGCTTTTTTATTACATCCAGTTATGATAATTTTCTTGATAAAGTATAGATATATCGGCTCTCTCCTGCTGACACTAGACAATAGCTCTCCTCATTACAGCACGTCTCAGTGTGGCAGTGTGTGCGTCTCATGAATAATCAGGCTGCAGTCGAGAGCTCTCGGGTCCCTGATGTGTGTGTTGTGCCAGACGCAGGTGCAGTGCTGCAGTGCAGCTGCTCGAATCTGCTGTACTCAAGAAACAAAAGATGAATAAGACCGTGTGCTCCCATCAGATCTTACTACACTATATCCTACTATACTATAGTGTGAAAGCAACATTTTCTTAATAAGTGTTTGCTCTATACCACACTATAATAAACTATCATGTTACACTCAACAAACTACATTTTTTACTAGGCTATGCAAACACTATAATAGGCTTTCAATATGCTGTATTATACAAGACTTTGGCATCTTTGACTTTACTGAATCCCACTTGAGATGGACTACCGATATTCACTCTTTTAAACTTTGGTTATCGGTTGTTTAATATTAAGTCTACCAATAAATAGTGTTTCTCTAAAGAAAATGTTAAGCTATGTTTAGATGTAGCCCAAAAGAAATCTGAAAATAAGTTTCCGACCATTTATATCACAATTTAGCATCAATATAATGCCATAAATAAAAACAATAAAAACATATGTAATAGTATTTAAATCTAAAAACATTTAAATATTTAATTATTATTATAATATATAATATTAAATATTATTAAAGCACATAATGTTTTTATAGTTGTAGTACAGTGTTATTTTAATATCATAAACGCATTATGCGTTTTTATTAATATTTTGAAATAATTTTATTTTTATATTTTCTGTTTGCACTTTAACTTTAGCAACCGTTTTAGTAATTTAGTGTTTTTTTTGTATTTGTATAATTTGTCTTTAAATCTCTAGATTTTTATTAGTTTTATTTCAGTTTTAGATTTATTGCATTTAGATGTGTTTAGTTAAATCGGAAATCTTACTAACTGGATTTTTTGTAATTTTTTGAATTAACAAAAATGCTTTTATGGTTTTAGTTTAGTTAACGATAACAACTGATATAGTCTAACAGCATAAATAAAGAAATAATTATTGGTTCTCAGACATTTAACTTTAAGATAATATGTATTATATCAGTCATATGAAGGCAATATCGGTTGGTCTCTAAAGCTCAATACTACCAAACTTGAAAAACCGACTACAAAAACAAACGATACCATTATAGCTTAGCATAAGCATAATGTAGAATAGTTTAGTACAGTTTAGCACTCTATAGTTTGGAATAGTAGAGTATATGTACTTTGATTTATGTCTTCGAAATGTTTACAACTTCTTTTTTTTGCTTTATTCCCTCATAGATTACAGCCCTTCGTCCCCAGAACCACCATCTTTGCCACTTTCTCTGAGCCAAAAGCCCACTGAGACGAATTTCTCTTCCTCATTGTTCGTCCCCACGACTGAGTCCATTGACCCGGAGCAGTGGGAGAGTGATTCAGAATCGAGCGGCTTCCCTCTCCACCCCTCCTCCGGGCCGTCAATCGCAGGTGCAGAAGACCACGCCCACTCCACAGCCACGCCCCCCGTCCTCCGACTCGCCCGTCAGAACCAGCCAGAGGCCACAGCTGGGCCTGACAGGCGCCTGACGTCCGACGACCCGTTTGATGACGAGAGGGGCCGTGCGGTAACACAAGCACCCACGGCTCCTGAAATCGGGCCCCTGCAGGCTCCCATCAGATCTTACTACACTATATCCTACTATACTATAGTGTGAAAGCAACATTTTCTTAATAAGTGTTTGCTCTATACCACACTATAATAAACTATCATGTTACACTCAACAAACTACATTTTTTACTAGGCTATGCAAACACTATAATAGGCTTTCAATATGCTGTATTATACAAGACTTTGGCATCTTTGACTTTACTGAATCCCACTTGAGATGGACTACCGATATTCACTCTTTTAAACTTTGGTTATCGGTTGTTTAATATTAAGTCTACCAATAAATAGTGTTTCTCTAAAGAAAATGTTAAGCTATGTTTAGATGTAGCCCAAAAGAAATCTGAAAATAAGTTTCCGACCATTTATATCACAATTTAGCATCAATATAATGCCATAAATAAAAACAATAAAAACATATGTAATAGTATTTAAATCTAAAAACATTTAAATATTTAATTATTATTATAATATATAATATTAAATATTATTAAAGCATATAATGTTTTTATAGTTGTAGTACAGTGTTATTTTAATATCATAAACGCATTATTCGTTTTTATTAATATTTTGAAATAATTTTATTTTTATATTTTCTGTTTGCACTTTAACTTTAGCAACCGTTTTAGTAATTTAGTGTTTTTTTTGTATTTGTATAATTTGTCTTTAAATCTCTAGATTTTTATTCATTTTATTTCAGTTTTAGATTTATTGCATTTAGATGTGTTTAGTTAAATCGGAAATCTTACTAACTGGATTTTTTGTAATTTTTTGAATTAACAAAAATGCTTTTATGGTTTTAGTTTAGTTAACGATAACAACTGATATAGTCTAACAGCATAAATAAAGAAATAATTATTGGTTCTCAGACATTTAACTTTAAGATAATATGTATTATATCAGTCATATGAAGGCAATATCGGTTGGTCTCTAAAGCTCAATACTACCAAACTTGAAAAACCGACTACAAAAACAAACGATACCATTATAGCTTAGCATAAGCATAATGTAGAATAGTTTAGTACAGTTTAGCACTCTATAGTTTGGAATAGTAGAGTATGTGTACTTTGATTTATGTCTTCGAAATGTTTACAACTTCTTTTTTTTGCTTTATTCCCTCATAGATTACAGCCCTTCGTCCCCAGAACCACCATCTTTGCCACTTTCTCTGAGCCAAAAGCCCACTGAGACGAATTTCTCTTCCTCATTGTTCGTCCCCACGACTGAGTCCATTGACCCGGAGCAGTGGGAGAGTGATTCAGAATCGAGCGGCTTCCCTCTCCACCCCTCCTCCGGGCCGTCAATCGCAGGTGCAGAAGACCACGCCCACTCCACAGCCACGCCCCCCGTCCTCCGACTCGCCCGTCAGAACCAGCCAGAGGCCACAGCTGGGCCTGACAGGCGCCTGACGTCCGACGACCCGTTTGATGACGAGAGGGGCCGTGCGGTAACACAAGCACCCACGGCTCCTGAAATCGGGCCCCTGCCGAGCCGGGAGCCCCTGCAGCCGGACAAACCGCACCAGGATGATTCTGAGGAAGATGAGGACGAGGAAGAGGTAGTGGTTTTTCCCACCGAACCAGATGAGGAGGAAGGGGACGAATGGCGGTACCTCACGCCGCTCACAACCAGACCCTCGTCCTCTCCCGCTTCAGATCTGCCGCCCGTGGTCTTCACCGAAACCGCCTGGCAGGGGGCGCCGCTCACCACACCCGAGGATGAGGAGGGGGCGGAGCTTCGACACGGCGGGACCGAATATCTCGCCGAAACGGAGCTGCACGACTCAGAGCTGTCCCAGGAGGCCGAGCAGGTACTTAGTGGCAGAAAATAAGAAATTAACTGAGCTCTATAATAATATGTAATAATATATAAAATAATATATTCCTTCTTGTATAAAATGTTCAAACACAATGTTTGAAGCAGAAAAAAATTTCAAGACCATCAGAATTCAGCTGTACGTGCTCAAAAATAAAAATATGTGCCACTGAATAATATATGAATATATGACAAATAGTAAAGTATATCATGATATAATACTATTAATAATAATAATAATAATAATAATAATAGTAATATATAAACATAATAACAAGAAGAAATGTCTTGTAAGAATTTGGATTAGCTTTTATTTTTAGATTTTCCGTTTTAATTTTAGCTCAAGCTTTAATTTTTTTTTATCAGTTTTCTAAAATTTCGATTAAGCTTTAATTTATTCTTGTTTCAATTGTAGTAATTGTGGTACTTCATCTTCACATATTTATTTCGGTAAGTGCCAAGGCAATATTTCTAATTTTCATTTTAGTAAGTTTTTAATTTTCAGTGTTTCATCTAATTTCTATATATTATGCCAACTTCCAAATTTCAATTACCAAAAAAAATAAAAATAAATCGTTAATAGTTTTAATTTGATCTAACAATAACAACACTGGTAAGAAGTAGTTATGTCCTTTTTATCATTTCAACTTTCAAAAATATTGACAAAACAAGTGAATCCTACAAGTGGTTCTTGTTATAAAATTCTCAATTGTTTGTTTGGATGAAATATATTGTGTCTTCTTGGAAATGATTTCACGATTGATTTATCTGACTGCGTTGGAAGAGTAATGCGTTTATAGATTTGTTCTCCAGGCAGCGCGGCAGGTTGTCAGCGAGCATTTCGGTTAAACCACAACAATTCACTGCAATCCAGTGACTCTCTTTGTTTCTCATTCTGTGCAGGTGATTTGTGTCGACTGGAGCAACCTTGCAGGAAAGGGCTACGTTATACTCAACATGACGGACAACTTTGACTGCGTAAGTGCTGCTTTTTCACAAAACCCAACCCAGAACTCTAGCTAACCTTAACCCAACCACATATTGTTCTTGCATGAGCAAACCACTTGCATTTTCTTCATAAAAATCTGTTTTTCCATCACGATTTGAATTAATTACTCTTAATTAAGGTGTATGTTCCGCTCAGAGCCCGTTTGACGTACTGCAGCAGAAATGCTGAGCGTTGCAGGAAGATCTCTGTCTGAGAAACATGCTGACTGCACAACTAACGACGCTCAGCACAAACAACTCACGCTGTGAGCTCTGAGCGCATTTGTTTTATTAGCAGCCTGAACAATCCTCTGGCCTTTATAGAGAAGAAAAAAGAAAATGTGATTCTTAATCTCATGAACTCGTTAACAGCACTGCAAAATGCAGAAGCGAATATTGTGTCTTAAAGGTTAATCTTGTCCTACTAGATCTGTCAATTATATTTTATTTAAAGGAATAGTTCACCAAAAAAATAAATATTAAGCCTACTTAAAATGCCACCCTCAGGCCATCCAAGATGTAGATGAGTTTGTTTCTTCATCAGATTTGAAGAAATGTAGCATTCCATCACTTGTTCCCCAATGGATCCTCTGCAGTGAATGGGTGCCGTCAGAATAAGAGTCCAAACAGCTGATAAAAACATCACAATAATCCACAAGTAATCCACACCACTCCAGTCCATCAGTTAACGTCTTGTGAAGCAAAAAGCTGTGTGTTTGTAAGAAACAAATCCATCATTAAGACATTTTAAATTCAAACTGTTGCGTCTGGCTAAAATACGAGTCCAAAATAAAAATAAATATAAATAAATCAAAATAAAATAAATCCCAATAAAAAAATAAACCACATAATTGTTTAGAACTGTTTGACTATTTTTGCTTGTAAACATTGCTTGATCTGTGCAGATTTCTCTTCTGATGCAGACGAGATTGCTTTTTCACGGGAGAAAACAATGTTATGGATGGAAGACGTGCTTGAAGTTAAAAACATCTTAATGATGGATTTGTTTCTTTGTATCTATTGGCTTCACGAGATGTTAACTGTTGGACTGGAGTTGTGTGGATTACTTGTGGATTATTGTGATGTTTTTATCAGCTGTTTGGACTCTCATTCTGACGGCACCCATTCACATTCATTGGTGAGTAAGTGATTTAATGTTGAATTTCACCCAAAAACAAAGTAAGTGATCAGAGCTACTAAACTGACAATAAGGTACCACAAAAGTGGTCCATATGACTTACAGTACAAACCAATGATATTTAAAGACCATATCTGAATGTATGCTAAATTTGGGTCTGTTCTTCACATAAAGCATCGTATGGCGTCAGTAGACCAGTAAAATATAGTGCAAAAGTCATATTGGCTTCTTGTACTGTGGTTTTCTGTCATTTTTGGATCTTGACCGTGCCAGTACCCATTCATTTTTGGTTTATTAATTGGCATAAGAGTAAAGCGATCTAAAGATCATAAGCAGAATTTTGTTTGAGAATTTGATGAGAAATGGTTGACTTCATTTTGAGATCTCGTATAGTTTATTATTATTTTGAGTTGGGTTTTATATTTTCAATTTTAGTTACATTTGTAGCAATTATGTTGTGTTTTAGTATTTTTTTATCAGTTTTAGTTTGTCTATTTAGTTTCTATTTTAGTTTTACTTCAACTTACCGTCACAACTAACTGAAATATATCTGTACTCCCACGCGTAACATGCGTAGGAAAAATACATTGGTGGCCATGACTTAACAATTCAACCTTCTGGGTAGTAACCCAACCGCTGGGTCAAAACAACCCAATTGCTGGGTTTGTCCCTATTTTACCCAGCACTGGGTTGTATTTAACCCAGCATTTTTTAGAGTGCAGGACTTATTAATTCATGGCCACGTTTCAGTAAATCGTGGCCCCGTTGTACTTATTCATTCCCTCGTTTTAATTAAGTTAAAACGAGGGAACGAATTAGTACAATGTGGCCACAACGTACCAAAATTAGGAATCTAATAAATTAATCAGTAGTGGGAATGAATTCAGTCGTAATGATTGAATTCAGTCATAATTAATCAGTCGTGGGAAGTAATCCTTAATTCGTGCCAATTATATCGTATGTTTTTTTTTTGCATTTTTAGTTTTATTCAACGATAACAGCGCCGTCTTTGACTCAAGTCTCTGCACAGTTTGAGACATTATTAAGATCTCTTCTGAAACTCTTCAGTTCTCCGTTGAATCCCCCTGCGATCCGTGTAAAGCTACCCTGTGATGTGTCATTGGCACATACACGTTCTCGTCGGCATAAAAGAAGCCGGTTGTCTGTTGCCACGGTAACGCTCCAGTGCCACGTAATTGCAGAACTTTCCCCCCGCTGGCACTCTGACAGCTGCGTGCTAAACTGCCGAATCTCCTGCGATGGAGCCCTGCTTTGAGCCCGAGCAGCACTGCAGAGCCATTGATCAGAAACCAATCCAGCCCACTGCACGAGAGCTCGGAGTCTCCATCTGAATGACTCAGCAAAACCCAGTCTGATTTCTGTAGCCTGTCTGTTTCTGGTCAGAGGATGTCTGTTACTGAGCCTCTTGTGGAGAGACATCTTAGACATGACGTCTCAGTAACAGACAAAGCAGAGCTGTTTTTAGGTGGGTCACTGGTTGTCTGTCTGTGGAGAGTGTTGATCTGGCCCCATATTTCATTTCAAAGAATATTTTACTTTTTCTTTCAATCATCAATAGGTATTATATATATTATATCATCATCATATATTTTTATTTACTTGATTTTATTTGCTGTATTACATTTCAATGTATTTTCTGACACATTCCATGCTAATTCTATTTTATATAAATACAATTTACATCTCATGTATGGTATGCTCCTATTTTATTCTATTTTTATTTATTAATTACATTATTCTATTATGTATATATTAATCTTTTTTTATACTGTCCACTACACTACATTTACATGTATTAAATTTGTACATAAATTTAGTGCATTTATACTCCCATTTTATTGTATTCATTTATTCATGATGCACAAAACATATATATAATCATATTATATTTATTTGATTTTGTTTTGTAATACATTACATTATAAGGTGTTTTTTGTTTTTAACAAATTTCATGAATTTTGTAACATAAATACAACTCAGGTACAACTAATTTATGCTCATATTTTACTGTATTTTGTACTGTATTGATTATACCATTTTATGATGTTTTTAATATTTTTGGTCCACTATTTTGCATTGAGCTGTATTTCATTAAGTACATTTTGTGAACAATTATACTCTTTTTATTGTATTTATTTATTGTTTGCGACACTGCATGGTGCATTAAAGCTTATATAATTATATGATCATATATTTATGTCAATTTTGTTTGCTATATTAATTTCTAGGTTCATTTTCTGACAAATAGTATAATTTTTCGTTTACACCTTATTCATGTTCACATTTTACTTTCACTTTATTTATAGATTACACAGTTTTATGATTTTTTAAAAATATTTTGTCCACTATATTACATTGAAATATATTTCATTTTTATGTAAATGCATTTTGTGCACATTTATACTCCCATTTTATTGTATTTCTTTATTGTTAGCAACATTAGATGTTTTTCACAGTATTTCATATATTTAAATTTGTCCTCTATATTACATTTCAATGTGTATTTTCTGACAAATTCCACATAATTTATTCTCTCAATTTATTGTATTTATTTATTGACTGCAGAGTTTCATGTTTTTTCATGATATATTTAATTTAGAATTTTATATGCCTACATACACACACAGTTTTTGGCGACAATGAAAAAAATATAATTAATACATACACACACATCAGTGTATTTCTCAGTTTTACCATTTCAGGACAGTGATATTTTAGTGATGGTTTGTGTCTTGTGTGTGTCTCACAGGATGAGTTTCGTACGGAGAGCGGCGACAGACTCCTGGAGATGCTGGAAAACACTTTCTCCAGAAAGATGAACATCCCAGAAGGCTCCTGGCTCATTTTCCTCAGCAAACCCACACAGCAGGACCACCAGCTTCTGATGGCCTTAGCCAGCGAGCAGGGTAACACACACACACACACACACACACACACACACAGGGCCTCTGTGGTCACATGTAATGTGAGGCTTATTGTTTAAATGAGAGGTGTTAGTCATTTGTTGGCTTTTCATTTCATGCTCTATATAAAAGGATAAAAATAGCACGTATTATCTCTCACATCTCTGTGCGGTGCATTGGTGAGATGTTGTATCTACTCAGGTGAATCTTACAAAGCCTGTCAAAGACTTGTTTGAGGTCGTGTTCACAAAATCAAAAGAGCAAAATGAGTAATTATATTTTGCATTAAGAAAATGAAGACTGTTTTGGTACCTGTTTAAGATGTTTTGCATTCTGTCATATTTATCATCATTTTCATGAAAGTGAAGCCCATTGTGCCCCCAATTCTTATTACCGAAATAAAGAAATTAGGTTACACTTATTTTACAGTGTCCTTGATACAGTGTAATTTATTTAAGTACTCAATAATGTTAATTAACAACATGTACTTACTATATGGTTAGGATTAGGGGGTTACACTTTATTTTAAGGTGTCCTTGTTACAGTGTAATTATACATTTAAGTACTGAATAATATTAATTAACTACATCTACTTACTATATGGTTAGGGTTAGGGTTACTTGCATGTATTTATGCATAATTTATTGTTATTATAATAGTGTAACATGTAACAAGGAGACCTTAAAATAAAGTGTTACCGATTAGGGTTTGGTTTTGTGCTATTGCATGTATTTATGCATAATTTATTGTTATTAGTAAGTTCATGTAACGTGTAACAAGGACACTAAAATATAGTGTTTCTAGAAATCATTAAATTATTCATATGATATGGTAGTATTTGTTGCACTGAATGTGATTTATGCTCATTTATTTAAAAATGTGTTCGGATAGAATAATTTTGTGGATAGCGTTATTGAGAATTTAGGGGTAAATGTGCTTATTTGTCATTTCTTTTTAAAAGCATTTACAATGCAAAAAATCCTAATGGTCCTAAAATAGGCTAAATCTTTACTACGGTGTACTTTATTTTTATTTTTTTGATTCAACCGTTCTTTATTAAATAAACTCTTTTTAAAAAAAAACTTTCTATAGTATTTTAGTCTAATTTTCTTTTCATATTGTCTTTTCGTTGAAGAAATTATCCCTCCAAAAGACGTCCTGTCAATGTTAGGGGAAATCACAAGAGGTCTATATGAGGTGAGACTTTAATGCAGCAAATAATACAATAAATAAACTTATGTAACATGGATAATAATTTCTAATAAATATTTATTATTTGATTTAGTTTTATTATATATTTTAATTTGTTATTATTATTATTAGCATTATTATTAGCATTTATTGTGATTTATTTAAATTGTATTACTATTATTATTATTAATTTATTTTCAGATTGGAATTCAGAATTATTCGACCGTGAACACGTGCCACCCGAGGCCCAGTCAGACACGTAGCGACTACGGAAAGCTGTTTGTGGTTCTAGTGATCATCGGATCGGTTTGTGTGCTCATTATTGCTTCTGGAATCATCTATATCTGCTGGCAGCGTCGTTTACCCAAACTCAAAAACATGGTAGGTCTTTGAAATGGTGTTTGCTTTAAAAAAAACAACAACTGAGGTAACGTTACAAGCCCAAATGTTCTGTGGTATTGACAAATTATGCTATCAACACAACTCGGGCGCGATTAATATGCAACTCGAATTCTAATGACTAACCTCAACGTTCTCTGAATGACGTTTCGGGTTCGAATTGATTTTCTATTTGTCTTTGGTTTTGTCCCTTCTGCTTTACGGCGCGTCCGAAGTCGAGAGGCGAAGAGCTGAACTTTGTGGAGAACGGTTGCCATGACAACCCCACACTGGACGTAACAAGCGACAGCCAATCAGAGATGCAGGAGAAGAAACACAGCGCCAATGGGGTGACGGTGGGCGGGGACGACGGAAGCGGTTGGCAGGTGCTCGTCAATAAGCCCGGGAAAAACGAGGAAGACAACCAAGAGGAAGACACACACCTTTACGCAATTGCGAGTTAAAAAGTCATAATTGAGAGATATAAACTCGCGATTCTGAGAAATAAAGTCAGAACTCACAATTGCGAGTTATGAAGTCACAATTGCGAGATAAAAACTCGCAATTCTGACTTTTTTTCTCGCAATTCTGAC